CGCGAGCCGCCTGCGCCCCGCCCCCTGCCCGCCAGGACGCGTGGTCCTCATCACCTTCTCCAAGGTCACTCTCGTGCCGGGCGGCCCCGCTCACCTTGCCAGTGGCCAGGGTCCCTGAGACTGTGCCGAGGGCTGCTCGCGCGCGGGAAGCGCGGTCGGCGGCGCGGGCTGCCGGCATTTCAGGAGCTCGCCGGACCAGCTTGCTGGGCCCCTTGGTGATTGTGTACATGGTGCGCCGTACCGCCTGCCCCTGGCAGCGGTTAGATCAGGCACCCTCCACCAGCTTCACTCTGCGGTCCCTGGGGCACGGCCCCTTTAAGGACGGAGGACAGACTGGGAGGGGCGGAGCGACCCACACACGCCCCCTGCCCTTAAAGGAACCGCGCCCACTTGGTAGCCTTTCCAATCCTTTAGAAAATTGGCCAAGATGCTAGATCTGAGCCAGAGGCGGGGTACACTCACCAACGAGTATGCCAGACTGTAATCCATCATCAGATTGGAGCGTGTGTGTGTGTGTGTGTGTGTGTGTGTGTGTGGGTGTGTGTGTGTCTGTCTGTCTGTCTGTCTGTCTGTCTGTCTGTCTGCCGGCCTTCTGTCTTTATCTGATCTGTTGTCTGGTATTTCTGGTGAGGGAGGCTCTTTGAGTGGGCGAGGGACTTCTGTGTGCTGGGGTAGTTCTCTGAGCTAGAGATCCTGTGCAAACTCTGAAATCAACAGTATTCCCGTTCATATTTGAGGCCCCTCAGCCAAGTGCTTGGACAAGCCTGGGCTGATGGGGATCACCGTTGTCTTGGATCTGCTTAGAATGAGTGGTCTAAAACAAAAAAGATGTGTTTAAGTAGAATGAAGTTCTCTGACTTTCCCCAGTGAACAAGAATATCAAGGCTGAGCCGGGCGTTGGTGGCACACACCTTTAATCCCAGCACTCGGGAGGCAGAGGCAGGTGGATCTCTGTGAGTTCCAGACCAGCCTGGTCTACAAGAGCTAGTTCCAGGACAGCCTCCAAAGCCCCAGAGAAACCCTGTCATGGAAAAAGAAGAAAAGAAAAAGAAAAGAAAAAGAATACCAAGGTTGCCCTACAGGTATCCTGAAAGCCTAAAACCCAGAAAAAGACCAGAGGATATAAAACTCGGGGTGGTGGTGGGGTAACCCAGCCTTAAGGTACTAACATTCTCCTCACGGTTATGTCCTGAACCTTCCTGGAGGTGGCCCCCTTTCTCAACTACTGCAGAAGCTAAAAACCAGGTCCCATCAGGCCTGTGGGGAGAGCCATAGGGTTTCCCAGTATACCATGATGGAAGGAAAACCCCCAGAATGGGTGGAAGCAGCCTGACCCTCCTCCAGTTGTTCTAATGACCCCTATGAAATGAATGCTGAGGGTTTGAAATGTGTCTCCCAAGACTTGAAGAACACTGTTGCTATATTTGAAAAGGATCAGTTTGCTGCCACCAGGGACTTGGGGAGGCAGGTCTTTCTGTCAAGTCTTGGACCACTCAAGCAAGAAACACAATGGGGAAGGGGTGAGGGTGGGTAGTTGATCCACCTCAATCCCAGGGTACCCCAAACCACCTGTGTGGCTTGCCAGTGGAATTCCAGAGGACTTCTACCCAAGATGGCCAAGCTGCCATGATTCTTCCAGCCCAGGGTACTTTGGCCTTACATTATCCAGAGAACTGGAGAACAAAAGGCCTCCCCTTCTCCAGCCCTGGGAAGACTCAATTGAGTGTGTGACAGGCACAAGGGAGGCATGAGAAATGACGACACAGCTGAGATAGTACACAGACAACAGACCAAAGAAAGAATTCCACCCAAGTCTAGCTGGTGAGCCAGTGACTTTCTTGAGGTCACTTACTGGAGCAGGTAAGAGCACGACCTTCTTGAAGCTGTATCACTGAAAAGCCCACCGAAGTGTAGGTGACAGCTCCTGAAAGCTGAATTGTTCCTTCCCAAGGCTACTTCAGAGTCTCCTTTTGGCTCCTGATTGTATAGCCTTTGGGGAAGAGGCTTTCCCAAGCTTCACAAGTCTCAAATTTCCTTTGCTTCTTGAGTCTTAAGAGCTTCCTCTCCTTCAACCAGGAGGGAATGTTTCAATCCCCAAGATTGACTATCAGTCCTGTGGCTGCAAAGGCTGAGTGGGGATATGGGAAGAAGTTGTGTATCCTCCCCACCCCACCCCCCAAGCCCTGTCCCTGCCCAGGGAGTCAAGGCCTGGACATTTATGGAAAGAAAGGGCTACTTCCTGGCTAAATTTGTTCATTCCTACTTCCAAAATGCCTGACCTGCCCCCACTAACCACCAAACTGCCAGTCCTGCCAAGGCCACTGTAGCCTGAATCTAGTGGCCTTGAGCATGCTGCTCTTAATCACTCATTCGTGGTAGGGAGGCAGGATAGGATACTGGGGGCTCATGTTGGTTTTTGCAGTTTCCCCTGAAATGACAGCCATACTGAGGGCAGGGGCAGGAAGGATCAGTTGGATCAGAATGAAGCGCTTATAGTCAAGGAGGTGCAAGGCCCTGGTGTGGGGCGTATGCACCCCATACATAACACTGACAGAAGCTCTCTGGAGACAGGTCCCCCTACAAAGAACTTACAACCCCAGCTACTACCACTGAAAGCCTAAAGCCCAGCTTCAAACAACCTCATCAATGGAGAAACCCGGTCTTTGCCTAAATAATTGTTGGCCCGAACTAGAGGACAAGGCATCTAGTCAACAGCTGCATCAGAAGTCCAAGGTTGGGTGCAGAAAGCCCTTAGATGGGCTCTCAGAAACAAAAGGGTGGGGGCTCTCAGGTGGGCTTGTTCTAAGGCTGGGGCATAGGCAGGTGAGGCTGGGATGAGGAAATCTGGTGGTCCCTAAGGAGCAGGAAGCTGAGGAGGTGGAAGGACAAGCTGGAGGGGCAGACAGCCTGTTAGGGGCTTGTCTTCTCAGGCACACTAGACCGCATTAGACCACTGCCACCTGAGGATGGAGCCTTGGTGGGGTACCAGTCGTGAAGGCTGATGTCTGAGGCAGGGAGTGTTATGGAAGATCACAGCTAGAGCCAGCAGTAGAGTCCTCTATCTCCTGACTATGCCCTTTTCAGAGAAAGACCAGGGATCTGGAACACCAAGGAGTAGGTATGAAAATGAAGCAGACTGGAGTCATAGTCAAGGGGCCAAAGCTGAAGGTACTGATAATGATCCAAAACCTTTATTCTGGACTTCTGATCTCCAGAACTGTAACAAAATGGATTTGTTTTCAACTACCAAGCTTTGGGTTAATTTGTTACAGTAACCACAGAAGGCAGAGTGAGACATGGAGAAGAAGGGCAGCAGCAAGGGGTGGGAGAAAGTCAGTGTGACCCTGGACTCTCAGTGGGGCTGAGGATAGTAACTATAAACACATGGGACTGGGCCAAGCAAAGAAGCAGAGTCCTGCTCAGTGCAGGGTGTGGTGAGACAAGCCACTGGTAGTGGAGAAATGTAGTGTAATTAGACACTCACTCAAGGGTTGCCCAAGCCCTACTCTTAGGCATACCCCAGGACAATAGCAAACAGGTAGAAGTGGGCCCAGAGAGGGGAGCCAGGACAAAGGCCAAGGCTAGGGGTGTGTGGGAGGACCAGAGCATGTTCCTAACACAACACAAAATCTAGGACTTGATGCTCTCAAGGGCCCTGATAATTTGGTAATGAAGATAAACTCATTTGGAAAAGCCAAAATCAGCTCCAAGAGCTGACACTTCTGACACTTTTTTTTGTGAGGGGGGCAGTTTCCAGACAGGGTTTCTCTCCCCCCCTCTCTCTCTTTTGTTTTTTTTTTTTCGAGAGACAGGGTTTCTCTGTGGCTTTGGAGGCTGTCCTGGAACTAGCCCTTGTAGACCAGGCTGGTTTCAAACTCTCAGAGATCTGCCTGCCTCTGCCTCCTGAGTGCTGGGATTCAAGGTATGTGCCACCACTGCCCGACGACACTTCTGATTTTAAAAGGAACCCAACATCAACAACTATGCTCCCCATGGCTATCTAAGAAAAGTTCATCTTGGGCTGGAGAGATGGCTCAGAGGTTAAGAGCACTGACTGCTCTTCCAGAGGTCCTGAGTTCAATACCCAGAAACCACATGCTGGCTCACAACCATCCATTATGAGATCTGGTACCCTCTTCTTGTGTGCAGATATACATGGAAGTAGAATGTTGTATACATAATACATAAAATCTTTAAAAGAAAGAAAGAAAGAAAGAAAGAAAATTCCATCTTACATGATCCAGACCATGGCCAGCATTGAACACTCAGGCTTTCCAGGACTTAGGTGCCCTCACAGGCCAACTGCAAGCCATGCCTCCTGATCCCATCTGATGACATCTGTGCCAAGTACAGACCAGAGCAGTGACTCCTGCAGGAAGGTATTAACCAGAAGCCAGGAACCCTTAAACATTTTGTTGGGTACCATTCAGCTTCACTGGGGGAGGGGAAGCAGGAAGATCAATCTCAGGCTTGTCCTAACCCAGTCCCTCCTCCCCTTAGCCAGTGCCTAGAAAATCCCATTTGAAGTTTACATAGCTCCCTGGCTATCACAGGCCCTCTGCCTGGGGTCTCCCTTGAGAAAGGGAGTCCAGAACAGTGTTGGACTTTGAAGGAGAGAAAGGGCCATCCTCAACTTCTCCTGAACTTGGTCGTTCAGAAGACACTCACACCATACTCCTCTGCCACCTCAAATAAAATTCTATGAAGAATCTATAGAAAGGTAGACCAAGTGATAGAGGTTAAGGCAGAGAAAGGGAGAGCCTGATGCAGGCCCAGTCAGGGTCACATTCATATCCACCTATTAGGGGCTGCTCAGAGTTAGGTCCGGGGCTGAGCTTCAGGACTCTTGTGTAACAGGTCTTTCCAAATAATGACACAGAGACTTTTTATTAATTGTGAAAGCTTGGCCTTAGCTTAGGCTTGTTCCCAACTAGCTCTTAAAACTTAAATTGACCCGTTCATATTACTCTATATTCTGCCACGTGGCTTGTTACCTCTCCTCAGTACCTTATATCTGACTTCCTCCATGTCTGGCTGGTGAATGTCCAGCCTCTGATTCTTTCCCAGAGTTTCTATCTCTGCCTATCCTCTCCTGCCTAGTTATTGACTGTTCAGCTCTTTATTAAACTAATCAGAAGGTGTCTTAGGCAGGTGAAGTAAAACAGAGACACATCTTTACACAGTGTACAAAAAGGTTATCCCCAACACCTCCCCTTTAAGTCCAATACAAGGCTCTTTCTCTAACACCAATGGACTATATAGAATAAGAACAATTGTCAGGTAAGAAAACCATTCACAATGCCCATTTGTATTTGGCAACTTTGAGGAAAGTACTCTATTATCTATCCTATCTGGGTGAGTCAAAAGTTTTGTTTTTTTAAATATTTATTTATTTTATGTATACAAGTGCTCTATCTGCATGTGTGCCTGTACACTAGAATAGGGCATCTGACCTCACTAAAGATGGTTGTGCGCCATGTGGGAATTGAACTCAGGACCTCTGGAAGAGCAGCCAGTGCTCTTAACCTCTGAGCCATCTTTCCAGCCCCAAGTCCAAAGTTTTGTACCTAAACCACTTTCTATTACAACTTGTATTACCAACCTAAAAGTATATTTTTAGACATTAAAACATTTTATATTAAACAACTTAAGCTTTTATGTCTCTCAACCTTTATAAACTTCACATCTCTTTTGTGAGTTTATTTTCTGAATTTAGTAACAAGGAAAACTAAAACTATAACTATCTAGGTGGTGGCACACGCCTTTAAGCCTATCACTAGAGAGACAGACAGATTTCTTGAGTTCAAGGCCAGTCTGGTCTACAGAGTGGATTCCAGGTTAGGGCTACATAGAGAAACACTTTCTTGAAAAACTAAAAACTAAAAAATAAACAAACAACACTGGCTGCTCTTCCAGAGGTCCTGAGTTCAATTCCCAGAAAAAACATGGTGGCTCACAACCATCTATAATGAGATCTGGTGCTCTATTCTGGTATGCAGACCGAACACTGTATACATAATAAATAAATCTTAAAAAAATAAACAAACAAAACACACACACACACAAAAAAAGCCAGGCTGGGCATTGGTGGTGCACGCCTTTAATCCCAGCACTTGGGAGGCAGAGAACTCTGTGAGTTCGAGGTCAGTCTGGTCTACAGCGAGAGTTCCAGGACAGGCTCCAAAGCTACACAGAGCATCCCTGTCTCGAAAAACCAAAACAAACTAAAACAAACAAAACAAAACAAAAAAGACCCACAACTATAAATATTTAGTCTTCAACTCCATCAGAGACCTGAGAAGGATAAAATATTACTTGAGTAAACAGGAAGTACAGAGCAAGCAACTTTCAAAAGTGGCTGTGCCTACCACAGCCACTCTGCAACAAAACTTCTAATAAATGTGTAATTACGGTTGCTACGGTTGGTAGACTTGAATTTGAGAGGCCTCTAGGGCGGTTCCCAACAGGGGGTTACCTTGCTTGTCCCTTGTTAATCTGCATTCACTAGTCCAATGCTGGCCTTTTGCCACACTTGCATCCTCTGGAAGACTGGTATCTTCTTTATGACTTATCTCTAAAGAAACATTGTTTGTAGGAACGCTTGCTTATAATCCCTTTTGAATTGACCTTGTCTTGCCAAGGCAGAGGTAGGAGGACTGCTGAGAGTTCAAGGCCAGCCTGGTCTACAGAGTGAGTTCCCAGAGAGTCAGGGCTGCACAGAGAAAAAAACCAACCAAACCAAAACAAAAAAAAACCCCATGAACAAAAAAAGGACCTAATTATCCTTTTATTTATTTTTTGGTTTTTCGAGACCGGGTTTCTCGGTGGCTTTGGAGACTGTTCTGGAACTAGCTCTTATAGTCCAGGCTGCTCTCAAACTCACAGAAATCCGCCTGCCTTTGCCTCTGCCACCTGAATCAGGTGGAAGGTGTGTGCCACCACCGCCCAGCCTAATCGTCCTTTTAAAAGCATTCTGAATTATGCTTTTAAATTATCAAAAGCCAAGGATTCAATTAATATTTGTCTGACTTCTGGATCTGATATTATTTTATTTACAGCTGGGGTCTTGCGGAAAAAAATCAGTGAAGTCTTCTTTTGGGCCTTGTATAGTTTTAGTAAATGACTCAGACCTCTTTCTAAATTACTCAACCATTATCTACACTCACACCTCTATCCACCATGCTGACTGGACACACTTTGGACCGACATCTCAACAGCAACCCCAAGCAAGAGTAGTAGCCCATGTAAGCTTTGAACTGGCGGTGGACGTTTTTTGGTTTTTCGAGACAGGGTTTCTCTGTAGCTTTGGAGCCTATCCTGGCACTCGCTCTGGAGACCAGGCTGGCTTCGAACTCACAGAAATCCCACCTGCCTCTGCCTCCCGCGCGCTTGTATTAAAGGCGTGCGCCACCAACGCTCGGCTCTGGGGCATTTCTTAGAAAAAGAAAATTTGCAGACACTTTGAGACATGGATGCCCTCCACAACCACAAAGTACCCTTGTCTGCACACTCGTCGCCTCGCATTTCATTTCACTAGTCATTGACTGCTTTCTGTTATCTATCCGTGGACCTCGAGCTGGTGCCAGCTGTCTCAGCGTCACACTCAGCTCATCTGAGCCCCAGCAGTCCTAGCCATGGAGTCCTGCGCCTAGGACTGCAAAGCTCCACTCCGTAGCCACCCATTACGCCCTCAGGGTCTGACCCCGGCCTCTTAGTTTCCAAGTGCTCGCGACTGCTATGGTTTCCATGGAGCAGAACTAAATCCTGGCTGTCTATAAACCTCGCGTTCCCCACCTTTTCTCCTTTTCATCGGATGCCAGCAGCACTTTGGGATCTGGTGAGCTACTATGTCCTGCAAACCCTTGTCAATTGGAAACTGTAGGGCAATAGAAAAGACACAAGCACAATGCTCTTGCATTGGCCAGTGTACGTCACAGTTCGTATACGCTGTGGACTAGCCGAAGTCTCAACAGCGCCGCTGGTGTAGTGGTATCATGCAAGATTCCCATTCTTGCGACCCGGGTTCGATTCCCGGGCGGCGCAGTAGTCTTTTTCTGTTCATCTCTGAATGCTTTGTAATCTTAACCTCCTTCATAAAAAGGTGTGGCGTAAACGTAACAAACTTTTAGTGTGACAAACACGCTGAGAACACTGGCGCTTAACGAGGTGCTGGATTTTAGAGACTCCAGTAAACCACAGCCTCTACTCGATCCTTGATACCTACAGCCAAGCCTAGCCGCTGGGGCATCTCCTGCAGGTGCCGACCCATTAAGGAGTTGAGCGGTCTCCTAACAGTTACCCTGCAGCAGCGCACCCCCCATCCCCCACCCCGGTCAGTACGACCACAACTCCCGTAGTGCCCTGCGCAGGAGCTGAACTACAGCTCCCGTCATGCACCGCGCACATTCCTAGCTGGGCGGGCCGCACCGCAGCGATGATGGTGGCTGCGGCTGCTGAGCGAAACAAGGGACCCATCCTGTGCGTGCTCCGCCAGTATGTGGATCCTGCCCAGCGTGGCGTTCGCGTGCTCGAGGTGGCCTCCGGCTCCGGCCAGCATGCCACGCACTTTGCACAGGCTTTCCCTCACGCCGAATGGCAGCCGTCGGACGTGGACCAGCGCTGCCTGGACAGGTGTGGCGGCGCGGTGTCTCCCACTTGTGGCGGCATGGGGCTGAGCGAGCGACGGGGCTGGCGGAAGGGAAGACAGGGCGGGACAGGTCTGGGTGGTGGGACTGAGGAAGTGGAAGCGACCAGCTGCAGGACCGACAAAGCTACCCACTGAACGCTCCTAAGGACTTAGCCCCAGAGCCACTCGGGGGCTTGTGTGGCCCTCACCTATGCACTGCCCTTCACAGCATTGCCGCCGCCACTCAAGCCCAAGGGTTGTCCAATGTGAAGGCCCCGCTGTACCTGGACGTGACCTGGAAGTGGGAGCAATGGGGGGGGATACCGCCGCGATCGCTGGACCTGTTGCTCTGCATCAATATGATCCACATCAGCCCCCTGAACTGCACTGAGGTGAGGACCACTGTGAAGCACAGCTTTCATGTTGCAGGTAGGGAGGCCTGAGTTTCAAGCGTCCAGCTTACCCTGCCTCCCTCTCTTCAGGGGCTCTTCAAAGCAGCAGGACAGCTGCTTAAAACCAAGGCTGTGCTGATTACCTATGGGGTGAGTGACCGGCTCTACCTTAAGAGGTCCATAGCAGCCTTAGGGACCCAGTCTCCCGTTGCCCTGAGGCTAGGTCCTTGCCCTTTTCTTTCTTGGGAGCAGAGAGTGTTCTTTGAGTATTCTGGATCCCAGCCTACAAATCAGTCCCATGGGAACTACTGACCTTGGGCCCATGGATTGTGTCTCCTTGTTCCCACAGCCCTTTGCAGTCAATGGGAAGATCTCTCCCCAGAGCAATGTGGACTTTGACCTGACCCTCAGATGCAGGTCAGACCTGGGTGAGAGGCGGCTTGGCTCAGAGGGCAGGAGGCCTGGATAATTCTGCAAGTAACCTCTACCTCCCTCCCTGCAGGAACCCAGAGTGGGGCCTTCGTGACACAGCCCTCTTAGAAGAACTAGGCCAGGCCAATGGCTTGGTCCTGGAGAGGATGGTAGGTAGGGCAATGTGGGGGTGGGTAGTCTCCTTGTGACTAAGGGCCACTCCAGCAATGCATTTTTCCAGGTGGACATGCCAGCCAACAACAAATGCCTGATTTTCCGGAAAGAATAGCCTATTTCCTACTTCCCATGTGCCTGCATCTCTGACAAGGGTTCTGCCATGGTACAAACTAGACTTCAGCCCCTCCCTCACTGAGTCACTTCTTGGGATAAATTAGCCCCTCCTAGTCTGGTGGCCACAGGGCTGCAGAGAACCTGGGTCCAGTGGGGCCTTGAAATAAAGCCTTTCCAGCCAACTGTGGGACATCTATATCACACTGCTGGCTGGGAATACCTGGGGGAGGGCAAAAGGGGCTTAGTCTGAGGGAAGATTAGAGCATAGAGGGGTGGCTGAAGCAGGATTGAGCTGACTTTCCTCCTGTGTCCCTAGAGAGAAGCTTGTAGGTCTGTAGGAGGGCACCCAAGAGTGACTTGGTGCTGCTTGGTAACCTCAAGCAGAAATTGGAGCTCCATCTACTCACAGGACCCCAACTGAACAGACAGTGGTGATGGGGGTCTGCAGTTAGAAGGGAACCAGAGGCTATGAATCCCACAGGTACAGACATTTATTTAGCAGGAAGGAGGACAGGAACGGGGATTGTGGATAAAGCTAGTCTTGGAAGCGGTTGAGCAGTTCACAAGCCTTCTTCTCAAGCAGCTCTGCAATCTTCTTGACTCGCTTCTCACTGGCAGCACGAACATAGCTGTTGGCATCCAACATGGCCACACCTTCACGAACCTCACCCATGATGACCAGTGGCCCATCACCAGCTGTCACATTGGGGCATGGGCAGGCCCAGTCCATGCCACTCAATGTTACCTCCAGGTATTTGGTGCCCAAGAACTTGAGGCCCATCTTGTCATCTTTCAGCACATCATCTAAAGCCACACGAGCAATGCCACCCGCAGCCTCGGGCTCCTCCAGTACCTCTGTGAGTCGACCCACAATGGCAAAATCACTTCGGCACAAGCTCAGAGCCAGCTTGCTCTTGAGGCGGCAGGTGCGACAGGGTGGTGTGCGTGGTACAGGACAAGCATCTTCACAGCTCTCCCGGCTCTCAAAGTTATTGCTATTGCCTTCACAGCCACTGTATACAAAGGGGTGGCACTGTTGCAGCAGTGGGCTGTAGGCCCAGCGTGGTTCCCAGCCCTGGCAGGGGCCCTGAACGGCAGGTAGTGCACAGGCATCCCCAGGGCCACGGGCACAGGCCTGTTGGCATGCCTCATAGGTCTCAAAGCCCCGGGCAGCCCCATCACATTCGAGGGCTGGGAAGGTCATGCAGCTACCTCGCTGTGGGTCAAAGCGCCAAAGGACATGATGAGGGGTGGGGGGTCCAACACAGGCCTGTGTGTCAGGCTGGCACTCAGCCAGGGCCAGGACTCCTGGGTCCCTGTCCTGAGTATTTGCCCGCTGCAAAACAGAGAGGGGGAAGTCAGCCCGTAGCAGGCCAGCAGCATTGCGTGCAGTGCAGGTATACAGGCCTGCATCATCCAACTGGGCATTGTAGAGCACTAGCTGCCCAATACTGGTGACAACCACGTTGCCATACATCTGGTCAGGGCGCATGATCAGGTTCTTCCGCTGGTGGCTCTGTTTCTCCCACGTCACAGCAGGTGGCGGACGGCCGCTAACATCACAGTGGAGACTGGCTGTTCCCCCGACATGTACTGCCTGTGGTGAGGGGCTGTTGTACAGGGCAGGTGGCATGGGAGCAGCCCCAGGGGTTGGTCGAGCAGTGGTCTCAGGTGGTCCTGGGCTGCTGGGTGGCCAACTGAGAATGTGCTTGCAGGGTACAACATGCAGGTGGAGCCCCCGCAGGCAGGCCTCTGCATCCATATAGCAGCGGTTATAATAAGTGAGGCCATCAGATGCACAAGTGAAGCTGGGTTCTTTCTCGCAGCGGTCACGGCAGCGGCAAACTGGCTGCCCGTCCCAGATGTCACAGTCAGAGCCCTGTTGTGGGCACTGGAAGCCTTCACAGGAGGCTGCTGTCTCAGGTTCAGCTGGGCCACCACTGGGGAAGCGGGCTGCCACACAGCTCTGCAGCCCACATACATTGGTGCAGCACTTCTCAGATGCTGCACAGTCCTGAGGGACAGGGACAGTTTAGTGGAGCCCTGACCCCTTCCCAGCCTTGCCCATGCACTCACTACCCTGGGAGAAATGGCTGCCTCTCCCAAAGCTTGCTTCCCTATGGAAAATGGTGGCAGTACTTTCTGAACAGTGTGAGCAGCAAGGCCATACTGTGTGTCACCTTATTCAACCCCAAGCAAAAAA